TTAAAAGTTGAACAGTTGAATTTTTTTCATCGTTCCATGTGAATGTATTCAGAGACTTTATTTTCAAACACTTACTGCGAAAAAATCGATTACGTAGAATTGCTACTGACGATTTTCTTAGCTTTTCATTTGTTATGTTTTTCGAATTATTTAGAATATTAGAATTTGTCTTCAATTGACCTTGATCTTCAAACTTTACTGTGTTCAAATTCGTTACTTGTGATTTACGATTTTTCACAGAATAATCAACGTCTTCCATTTTTATTTATCTTTCAAAATTAATTACAGAAAAGGAATAGAGCAACATAATTCATAGATTCTTTAGATTTCTAAAATGAGTGAGATCTATATAAGTTTACATTAAATTTAGATGATGTGGAAAAACTGTACCGTTTAAAGCTTTTAGCATTTGTCAATAAACAATGGAATATTTTCACAATCTATAGTTACTTGATAAAGTAGGATATTTACGAGAAACTACGGGCTCTAATCAAACATAGTTTAATAAACTAAGAAATTCAGCTTAAGAAACCTAATTTCAGTGGATATATATATTCTTTAAGGAAATATGAATATGATGACATAAAAAGATTGTGATAATACTAGGTAGAACACAGTTCAGTCTTAGACGATAATTAGAGTATCTTCGTCAAACTACATGATGTAATAAGTAAATCGAGGTAATATAAATCTAACATTAAATGTTTGGGGACAATCTACACAAGATAGTTATCCATGCTCACCACAAAAACACCGTCTCACTGCGTTAGGAGAAAATATCTTCCGACTGTCATTAAATCTGAATACAGTTTTCTAAGTAATTGTCTTTCAAATACACAATAATCAATTGTTTTCTTCTGAACTATTTCTTTAGTGGATTTTAAACAATTCACATGAATAATGCAAGTCTGAAAACTATGGTAACAATTCAAAGTTCAACATTCAAGTTTTATTTAGTTAAAATTTAGAATTCTTTGATTTATAAATATTATGATAAAATCATGATTGAGTTGAATCCAAGTTAGTCTATTGAACATGATCACTTCGTTACGTTTTATGTTGTCCCCAAATGCCCTGGTGCGGCCGAGAGTGGGGAGAGTAGGCTCTCTCTCAAAATGCACTCACATGACCACGTGCATACAACCAATGCCAGGGAAGTCCTACTCACTGCCTTTTCGTGACGGGGGTGTTGTTTACGAAAATGAGAGGACGAAAAAAGAATGTCCGGCGCTTTTACCGGGCCGGTGAGTCCACCTAGGGGAGCTGGAAAACTCTGATTCCAAACCAGTGGTATACATGGGCTCCAGGATCCTGAAGGAGCAAATGGAGTATGAACCAATCGTCGGTCACCAGCTACCATGGGACTGCATATCCTTACGTTGCCCCACTGCCTTGTGGATCAGACCTTCAGGTCAAAAATTCCGGGTATGGCCCCCTAAGAGAACCACCTACTTCGGTTCGGGTACCCGGGCAGTATCCCAGCCCTCGCAAAAATATAAACAATATTAGAATGGCTGTTACTTAAACTTATAAATTATTTGGTCTGTAGGATATATTGAATCGAACCACTTTTGGTACATGAATTTCATGTATGAATAACTCGATTCTATCTGGGTGACAAATCAAATGTATCAAGAGTTCTGTTGTCAAATGTTAATTAAGATATGGTCATAAGTGATCACAGCATAGCTATTTAATGGAGAGAACGAGTTGATGGAGCCATATCAAATCATGTACGTTATCAAAAGGGAACTTCACGTTTAAGTCCTAGTATGTAATATTTCTTATCAACAGTCAATAGCTTAACGGTCATAGTTCTAAGATCAAAACTGATAGAGAATAAGCTTTACTTTCAGTAAAAACATTAATTGAAATATAGGTGTAACAGAACGATGGGCTCTAAATAGGACTGGATATACTTTGTACGTTATATTATATATATATATAGACTATAGGTGATAATTACCCAGATTGTGAATTAATTTTTCAGCAAACTAAACCACATAACAATATCCAGCACTTTAATTTTTAAGTTCACTTATGACTGTCATTTTATGTTGATTCAATTGCAAAATAATGTACTAATATATTGAGACTGAGTTGAGTGAACAGAGATAGCTTAGAAAACGAATGATAAAATACAGTTATTAAGTTGAATAACAATTATGGTTTTGAACAGATGTGATTATTTCAATAGAGTATCAATCGGGAAAAAAAGGGAATTCGATTCATTTCGCTTTACTTTATCAAACTCATGTGGATCAGACAATCCCTTATTGATACACTTACAGGTTGTATTATTAATAATTATGCTAAGTTGTTTAAGGATAAGTGTGAGTGATAAGTCTTGATCAGTAATAAAAATTATTGAACACAACATGGATTACTACTCTATAACTAGTTAATCTAAACATGAATCCTACACGAGATCATTTGTGGTTCAAACAGTTCGGTGATAATATCATTTAATGTGTCACGTATTCGAGTCTCACGGGAAAAAATTAGTCTCTTTATGATTATAGACACAACATACTGACAAGTGTCAACTAGGTACAAACCTTTAAACTGATTGAATCAAAATATGAAACTCAAGGGAGTCTCAAAAATATAATATTTGAAACTATGGGTCAGTTATAAAATAATATGCTGATAGTACAGTACAAAAATGGTTGAGGAACTTTAAAAGAGGAATATTGTAAAGAGAACTTACATTTTTAAGTTATTTAGAAAGACATCATACATTAAGTTGTATGTTTTAAAAAGGAACTTATATAAATTATGTGATCTATATTTATTGTTCCGTTAACCAACTAAAAATTTCTCTCATAAACATCTTTAGAGGATTGATCAACAAATACTCCTGGCATTGTTTCAATAGCTACATGTGACATACATGTTTGTTTCCAGTCCAACCAAATAAAAAGTTTAACAAACATCCAAATCTATTATTTTAATGTGGAACAATGGAAACGGATAATAATAACAATAATAAGTAATATCTTTCATTGTTTTTATATTTATAAATGATCACTTTGGTAACTAGAGAAAATAAAGCATTTAGAATAGGCTATTTTCACAAAAAATAACATTAGAACAGTTAAAGAATTATGATATTTTCTGAAAAAAGTTTAGTATGGTTTTCTAGTAGAACGTTTCTGACACAAATTAGAACATGAACGTAATTTCTAAAGATAGGAGAAACGGTGCTTTTTAGATTAATTGAGCCAATATACACATGATATTAAAATCTAGACACTTTGTGATCGAATTTTTAAAACTATTAATCACTGAGATTTGAGTCAGGATGAATGAAGTTGGATACTAATAATTGAATCTTGAAAAGTATTACTGAAAAATCAGCTCTTTTCAGTAAATTGTTTAAGGCATTTAAGCTTGAGAAATGAAATACCTGAAAAATATTAATTTGAGAGAAGCGCATTCTCAGGATGAGAGCAAAGTACATCATAAATTTAAACGGAATTCTGTTGAGATTAAGAACAGTTTATTGGATTTTGGCTAAGTGGACTCAATGACATTGCTTTTATCGTGAGAAATGAATGTCACAGGTTTGACATTGTATGAGGTTGTGGGTGTGCATTAATAAATCCTAAAAAAATAATTCGATGATCGATCAGGGGTATTGTCAACATAGTTCTACTTTACAAACTTGTGTAGAATATGCCAGATGAAATCACGTTACTAAAGTAACTAGGTCAAGTTCCTTACGACCAATTTATAATAAACTACGTTATAAGCAGTTTTGAGCCTAATTTAAGTATCAAGGGAAAGGCTTTCGAACCAGTGAAGTTGTATCGCCTGTCTGTGACATCTTTGTAGTGCTCACCAAAGTCATCAGAAAATGAGCTCCGGACCTTCAGGTCTTTGGGTTAAAACGATACCATTAAAAATTTAGGAGCAATCGAAGGGACTCAACTTCTAACTAGTAGGTTACAGGTTAGAACTCCGAACTATCTAATTCGGTTTAGGATCTGAGTATTATCATTATCATTTACATAAACAACATGCCATAAAACTGAGTGGATCAACTAGTATTTGGTAGTATATTATTATTCGCACCAATCAATTAACGATTTCACGAGACGATCATTAAATTCTAACGGTGATATCTGTCTGATAAAACTTGACTGATATAGTTCAGTAATGTTCTTTTGTTTGTACTTTGCCGATTTTCTTTCGCTGTGATATTAATAAGAGTGTATCAAACTGTAGATTGAAACAACTTTTGAGGTTGATGGATAAAGATCCAATATGTGCGATTGAGATTAACCCGTCTGACCAATTCAAAACAGTGATAGAGAGTAAGAAAAAGCATCACTTGCAAAACTCATGTTAACGATAGATTTAGTTTATCATTCATTTACTCATTTACAAGGAGGGGGGGAGGGTTGACTAACATAAACTGTGCTTGCATACACAAATTTATTATGTTTCATGTTGTACATATTAATACTGATTTTATTTTAAAAAGTAATACTTTGAAGAGTTATTGAAAGTGAAATTTTTTTTGAAGGGGAGGGGGGAGAAACCCAATTAAATTAACTGCATAATGATGAAAAAGCATAAATTTGTTTTAATCAACGTAACCTAAAAGGAAAAAACTGAATGTACTTTAGATTGGTACTTTACATGCATGGATCACTGATTATTTTCTTATATATATATACAAATATAAATAATAAGAAGAAAAGAAAAGTACGATTTTACGTTGAAATGATGAAATATCTAATGATATACAAAGAAGAAAAGATAATTTATGTAAATTTAGAGAAAACATAAATTTGAATGAATTACATGTTCGAATTGATTTAGTTCAAATTAGATAAACATTAAGTCAATATTTCTAATATGCTCTAACGAAAGAGAACAGCAGGAATGAGGAAAGGTAAAAGGAAATTGTATGGATGAAGATTATTTGAGTATATATATATATATATATATATATATATATATATATATATATATATATATATATATATATATATATATATATATAGATGGATAGAATATGACTGAAATTTTGTACATTGATAAATCACAAGAAAAGCTGTTTTAATTATTATGATGATCAATTACAACTGCCATGTGATCAAATGACTACAATTTGAACTGCGATTATCTGATTGGTGTAACGTATTCGTCGAAGCTAAATAAGTAAAGAAAAAACGAAGCAGTCGTTAAGATAAATACACTTAACAAATACTACTAACATAACTTTAAGTAGATATAGAATATCAGTTGCATAAAATCCACATTTGTTATTAATATGAAGTTCGTTTGAACAATATATGACTAGCTTATCTATTTCAGATGGACTTGAAAATGTCAAGCTTAATTACGCTATAAATAATAGATTGAAGTCAGAAGATTTCACATTCATTTACATAATGTCCATGTAAGAAAAATCCATAGTAGATATTACTAAACATGAAGAAATAGATATACAACTGTCATAAATATATCAAAGCGTTAATCTAAAATCTAAACAGGTTTATATAAGTACTGAACTCAGATTGAGGTTTTCATATGCAATTCATGCACTAATCATCAATTGATCTATAAACAATTTCATTTTCAAAAGTAATACATAAATGAAAGTTCTATTGAAGACTTCATATAACAGACTAACACTGAAAACACTGAAGCACTGAACACCTTTTTCATACTAGTATGGAACTCTTTAACAGTGTACAAGCAAGAACCTCTTCAGGGATCGAACACATGATCTTCAAACCACTTGGTGAAGAATTAACCTCACAACTATCGGAACTTATATGTGAAATAATTAGTGTGATGGTGAACAAGCTTATGAACTTATTTTATCAGTATTCATTTGTATGATGAAAAGTAGAATCCATGGACTAAAATTTATGTTATTGGAAGAAATAAACAGTCAAATTGACTAGAATGTATAAAAATAGTAGGAATCTAGAGGTCATCGACACAACTCAATAAATTAAAAGTTTAGACACTGAATATTTTCCAAGGAGGTAAATGAAAATCAGACAGGAATATAATTACATCAAAGGTGACGAGATTATTCAGTGTTAACCAATTATGTTCATACATAAATAATATAGAAATTAAGTTCTTAACTCAATCTAAATGGTCACCAAGTTAACAGAATTGTATTAACTAGACACTTTAACATGAGGCTACTTTCAGTGTTTATGATGTAAGATTACAATATTTTTAAAAAGTGGACAAAAAAATATATTTACTCCAAATCATGAAACAAATCAGTCTATTGTAATTCAGTAGGAGTCAAAAATTCCAATAAACAACAAAACTTACCACTATCCTTATGCGAATTGATCAAGTGACCTTCACCACCGGTAACCATAAAAAAACTTGGTTTTTCGACTCTCCTTTTAGGTTTATTCATTGAACCAGTAGTCTGACAAGTGGAAGCGCATTGACTATTCACATTATCTTCATTCTGTTGTATAACAGTTGGTGTGACAAAAAATCTCACTGGTGCTGTATGCTGATGTGTACTGATCTGCAAAACAATAGGTGATTATACTGAATCATTTTCAGTAAGAACACTTCTTAGACATTAAGATAATTGTCTCCATGTAAATACTTTTAATTGTATAAATGACGAAAAATTCTAGAAATTAAGTTATTATGATTGCCCACTACACTGAATAGTTCAGAATGATATTTATTGCTGATATTATTATATCTGAAACCGTTTAGGGTTACAACGTCATCCGTAAAAATATTGGTGCTAACATACTTTCTGTAAATGAAATAAATTTGGAAGTTCATATTCCCATCTAGTTTTGCTAGGAATTTAAACGTTAACATTTTAGGGAGTTCAGAAATCAGATACAGAGTCAGTATTTCAAGTGTTCAGTGTACTCTACTTAATGACAAAAGACAAACCAATTGTCACAGAATTTACACCAATGTTCTTAAATGATTAATGAGAGGAGAGCTCTGCTTTGATTCAACTTCACTTAACATAATACTTTAAAATATATAAATGCCAAGTGCACTTCACATTTGCTCTTATTGCTTCACTTGAAGCAAAGTCGGAACAATATCACAATTGATCTATTCTGTATAAAAATGATACACTTCTCAAATACTCATTTTATGACTGAGTTCATGATGGGGGCGAATAAAAATAGTAGAAGATGAACATCTTTTGTGAATACACCTGAATGGATAGTAGCTCTCTTTTATAATATAATTACAACATGTTATCGCGGCACTTTTGATCGTTGCGCTCTCTGATAGAAAAAAACTATAGTTATTATTTACTTCTGGTACATAACGTATATACTGTATTAGGATTAACTGTATTATCGAAATGGGTCACCTATCAAAAAAGGGAGTATGGAAAAGCCCGAATCATTCTGATAATAGCAACTCTGTCATTACCTACAACACCTTATGTCTAGTGGTTCCTTTTGCAAGCGATAATCTTTGGATGAGACTTGAGCCACACATGGCGCTGGTTAACCCTATCTAATTTAATTAGGAGTTCCACATGAAGATGCAATAGCATAAATAATACAAAGTGAAGTAGACAGTATATATAAGCAACTAAGCAATATGCGTTATAAAGTGAAGTGACTTATCAATGAAGAAAGCTATCTTGCCACTTAAGCCCGTGGGTACCCCAGATAACCAGTGTATACCAAATGTAGACATAGATCTTATGCCTCCTGATCTGATATTTCTCAATATAACGGTGAAGGGGCATACTCAGACGTCTAGTCCTAACGTGAAAGTTCTTCGAAACACTGTTACGATTAGCAAGTTCAAACCACATAAGAAGAACGTATATACAGAAGTCTGTGGTTCCGAAACCAGTACCAAAAATATTATAAAGGCTCAACCAAACAAGAATGTACTCCCAACATCAGGTTTGACCCTTCTAACCATACGGATAGTTATATGGGTACATGGACAAGAACTGGTTGATCCACCATTTCTTCATCCCAACTGAAGCTACATACAATAGGTGACTAGTCAAAACACCACTTTCCAAATCGATGAAATATAGTTTTCGCAACTGACGCACGAAACGACTAACACAACTTCGGTCTAAGCAGATCTAATGTCAGGCAGGCTAAAAGAAACAAACATGTCCCACGGTTGCACCCAAAGTTTTTATATACTGAGTCTGTAAGATATGAATTTTTCGTCACTTTCCTGATGGACAAGATTGACTACTAGGCTATGCACCATTAGCTTAACCCCAATTGCACATTTATTCTTCCGAGTGTTCGCATAAAGAATGAATTAAGGCTGGAATCCGTACACAGACGATTCACACTTCGCTTTTTTGAGACTGATTGTATCTTAAATTATAATTTCAGATGAAATAATTTTGGACTCGATCCTTTCCGGAAGAGAATTAGGTTAAATCTAATCTTTTATATCAGATGAAGCAATTCAATATGTAGAAGCTCGTAGTTACAACATCAGTAATTCTTTGTCATTAGTGAAACAATTACATTCTAAGCCTTCTCTCTGCATCAATCACTTTGTCAGTAAATTTTCCAGACTTTGGAATAATTTACCACAATATTTCCATGAGATAAATTCACTTACAGCCTTTATTCGATGCACCGATGCTTGCTTCCCTGACAATGCTTTGACTGTTCTTACACCTGTAAGTATATCTCGTCCCGCAAGCGACATCAATAGGAACTTTAAATGTTTAATATTTTTTACTACTAAACCCACTAAGTAAACTTCCTTATATTTTGTTACTTTACACTAACACCGACCCTGATGGCCTTAACTAATTTGAATGATATCTAACACGAACTGTATCATAAAATAACCTGGCACATGTATTATGGAAGTTGTATCGCGCTCTCCCTTTTCAGTTTTATTTTCTCTAGTTGTAGATTATTTTAATTGACTCGCTGAAGCGCAGGAAATGATTTCGAGTACATTGTTTATCGATAAACAAGATGCCCACTTAAAAAGAATTAAAAGTTGATCATGTCTGCAAACCGCCATGTATTTTGTTATTATATATATATATATATAATTGTAATTATAATAAAAGGCTTATTGTCGTCAATGCGTAGAAAGAAATAAGCATAAGTTACCTTGAAATTTCTAATAGTTTTTTTGTTCGTTCACATCGGTTTTTTTCACATAAAAAAGCTCTTAAAATATTAGAAAAATTAAGTCTGAACAAACGTAGCCGGAATAGGATTATACCATAAATAGTCCATAAATACATTGACCAAATCAAGAAATATATTGCTAGAAAAATAATTCATCTAATAGTTATAAGATTTTATTCCACGCTTTGTAATCAGTTCGTTCAATCTTAAAATTCAAGTATTCTTTTGGTTATTTATAACACTATAAATATTTTTTTAAAAGATCTCTCATAGTCTTCATTGCGTTTTTGAGTAGATTCACCAGAACGTCAACGAAATTTAAATATCATATAAAGGTATTAGTGTATAGAACTTCTCATGAGGTGAATATTAGCTGACAATCATTTTTGAATTTAACGTCAAAAATTAAAATTCGCTTTTATGGAACCGATTGGTCCGCAAGTACAAAATCGTTTTATCGCAAATGAATAGATAAATTAAAATGATAAATACATGAAAATAATAACAACATACCTGTGCAGACGAGCAATCTAAGATGGCTTTACAAATACGTTTTGATAAATTCGCGGAGTCTATCAATTGTGCAATAAAAAATGTAACAGTATGAGTTAATTTAACACAATATCATATTGAACGGTATGTACAAAACTGAAATCTTACTAACCTAATCATACGACAATTCTCATACGCCGTCTCAATGCAGATTGATACCAAAGTACAAATCTTACCAGTAGCTTTTCAGCCATACTTATCTCCTGAGCGTTAGGATTTATGTACTTGTGAATGATGACATACATGATAAGTAAGTGACCTGGAGTGGAATCCAAGATGTGTTTTGTTTGATTAAAAAAAACATCACATATGGATAAATCAACATCGTTTCAATTTTACTGTTAGCTGCTACTTAATGCTGTAATCAGTCCGAAAATTCAGGCAGTCACTTGAAATTCGACGTAAGAGCCAAGCAACGGGAGTAGATAAATTCTGTAACTAACAGTATATTCGAATAGGATTATACATAAAATACAAAATCCATAGACGTTAGCCTGACTAAGTATAAGATATAATAGAGATCAAAATAGTGCGGATAACAATAATAAGCGGTTTTAACATTTACTTCGTTTATTGCGCAATGCATTATTACATAAGATATCAAAGATGAAATGGTGTGAAAGTGGTACATCACATAATGCACAATAATAATGACCAGTCGGTTTGCGGGAAATGAAAATAACAAGTGAGCACGTTTTTTTTGCACCGAATACTTTCCTTAGTTTCAATCCTAAATTTTCTTGGAACAGTGTGTTGTGTTCTGGTCTTATTCAGCTACAAGACACACATGCTCAATAAGCTGAGCGCTGTGAGGGTGAATAATCAGTAGGAAGCTTTTAACCAAAGACCAAATAATAATGTACACAACGCGTGGGTAAATAAGTAATAAGGCTAATCAAAACAGCGATATGCGGGGAACAACCATGTGTAGATGAATAACTCGGAATGGCCCACCTACATTTGAGCCTCTCATAAATCATGTAGTGTAGAGACAGAAACGGTTAGTCTGGAATTCCCTGAACTATCATCATAACATCCTGATAAGTCCTCCTCATCGTGTTTACTTATGTTATTTAACGTAGGATAACGTGAAACTGATTATTTAGAAATGAGAATGAAAGGGAAATGTAAGTGTAAGTTTGGATTTAGGATTCGGTGATTACATAAGAATGGACGGGGAAAATATATGAAAGATGTAACCGCAAGTGTAGGATTAGTTAAATAAAAAGAGAAAGGGTACACAAACATTTTCTGAAAAGCAATTATTAGGTTTATTTAGGTGGGCTTCACTATGTGTACGACACGACATCAGGAAGCATAAAGCTTGTTGGATGGGATAAAACAGATAACTCTGAATGCTACATCCATATCGGTTTGATGGTTTGTATTAACTACATGAGTATGCATTTATCAAATAAACTAATATACAACTTCTGATTAGCTTAATGAATTGTAGTGGTAGATATGAAAATACCTTAATATTGACCTACCTTATTGGATGATACATATGCTTGTATTTCCCACAGGAACTAGTCTAGATAAAAGCTATTATAAAAGTTCATTGACAATATCAATTTTAAATTGCAAACAATAGAGGAATAGATATTTTATCATTGTAATCAGATTGAATTTAGAACAGTTACAAGGTATGTTTCGTTTTTAAGATAATCATTTAACTAAAATACCCAAAAGTTAACTTATTGAAGACTTTGTTCACTCAAAGTGCGTGAAAGCAATATAAGGTTTGATCGAAAGATAATCTGAGTAACAACTTATCATATATCTCAAGTGAAAAACTTTATATGAGAACAAATCTGAGGGAACACTAAGTCATTTACCTTTTTGACGCTCACATGATGTTTGTTGAAATGTTCTGTTAAATAAAGAGTCTTGAAACTGGATTGTAATGATGAGCCCAGCACTAGTTCCAATCCATAGACGGTCATTCATCGACTTTAAAGTAGTAATAGCTAAACTAGATGGTTTAAGTTTTGAAATATTTCCACAATCTGATGAATTTATGTTAGCTAAAAATGAAAAAAATATCTGTTACTTTGATCTATAGTACTTATTAGTGTGAAGTAGTATTACAGTATACTTACATAAATCTCTCTCTTCTAATCACTATGTCTAGAAGGGGGAGTTGGTTATTCATCCCTTCATTACATATAAAACAAATACGCTTTTGAAGTGTGTTGAATTCCTCTAACAAGAGGTTCACATATTCACATTTACCACTTATGATTATAATGTCGTCCACAAACCGTCTTCGCTGACATATCTGTTGAATTAAATCTTGAACTACGTTTTCCACATATGCTAGGAACACATCAACCATTAATGATCATAAAGGACTACTGACGACTACTCCATTAACCTGTCGAACGCATTCCCCTTTCTATATATATACTAAGGTTTATTGAAGCATTGACCATACGAAAACTGTAACTTCGTCTATGTGTTTTCACTCTCGTAATAATCATTTATTATCCAGCCTCGTTTTCATATTTTGTACTTTGCTTTTTTCTTATCTGTTAATTTGTCTGACTGGTCTTTTATTGACTTCATATATAGTGCTTTACTAAGTATGTGTGTGATAAAATTTCAATCTTGATCAAATTTTTGACCCAAACTCATGATCGTAGCATATTCTCGGATTTTCATATGGTAAATTATTCAACATTCGTCAGTATTTTGATTGGTGTAAAAACTGGCTTTGCATTCTCAAGCCCATTGAAGTGTCAGTAAAGTATACTTTCAGCTTTACTTACTATTATTTATGCCACTAGAAACTATTTCTTTCATTAATTTTATCTTTCTGTGTTAATATGAAGTGTGGTAACTTGGATTATAACATATCTACATCAATTTTTGTATTAATGAGTGTTTAACTTTAGAAACAAAAGAAAACATGAAATTATCAGTCAAGAGGTTATTTCAAAATAATAACAAACTTACATAATAAATTCATAATCACTTGATTTAAATCTAACGTTTGTATTAATTCATGACTAATAACATGATACAAACGTAAGATAGATTCACGTCTTATTGAGATCCATACACCATCTTTGTACCAAGACATTGTTTGTATTTGTGCATCTTGAATTGCATGAACTTTAAAACTATTTCATTTTAAAGGAAAAACAAGAAAACATAAAGACATTAATCAGTATTCATCTGACAAAAAATCCCAACGGAACTATACTATAACAGTTTTGTTATTATTATTCAATTGAATATATTAAAATTAATGAACAATTTTAACTCTAAAAATAAGTTAGTGAAGTTGGTGAATATCACCTTCAATTTTTAGCTAAAACTTTACTATTGAAGACTTTCTTTTTAATTATTAAAAAATTAATGAATTAAAAATTATGAACTGAAAAAAAGGATGAACTGTTGAACAAACAAAGTTTACTACAAATAAACATTCGAAAAATGTATTAAACTTACCAGTCAACTAATTGAAGCGTAAATGCATTAATAACTAAGATACGATTACGATAAGCAGCCCATAAAGAATTTGTTGATGGTACAGTTATTGTACAACTAACAGAACATTGAGGCCGTCCACACGTAATGACACATGCTTCAGTAAAATCCCATGATCCCAATATTGTATTATTATTATTATTATTATCATTAGATGAATTCAGATTAGAATTGTGAAGAGTAATGCATTGGTCAGTAGATGTAATATGATTATCCGGTAAATTAGATAATGACGATGACATAGATGTTGAACTGACAATTGGTGCTTGCTTAATTGACAGACTAGACAATGAATGACCTAGACATGAATTACCATTATTAGTTCGATGAAAACGATGACGCCGAAAAACGACTATTTGACCATTCGCTAAGCTGACAAATACTCGTCCGGCAAGATGACTGTGAAATACAATAAAAATCTTAATCAACTTAAAAGCAATTCGGCAACAGCATGTAAAGGAAAGCAGATGAAGTAATACGAAGAATAAAGTAGAACGATAATCAGATTACAGTTTAGAGCTTACAATTGTTAGCAAGATGAGTTGTCAGGCTTAGTTTGCAAACGGTAGCTTCATACTTCACTCAATGTTGTGTAATTTAGCACATCAAGGTGACAGATCAGTATAAAGGTGAAAGTTTATTCTTGGACCATTACACACAAATGGTCACGTAATATCGTGAATTAATTAAAGGTATTTATGTGCACCATTCAATAACAGATCATTCGTTTACAGGTTAAGCGTTTGAGTACGAGGCGAAGGTCCTGGACTCGACTTGCGGTTGAGGGGTCACAGGTTCGCACAGCTGAGGAACCCCATACTACAATGGAACGGCCATTCAGTGCTTTTAGGTTCTAGATGGTTGTCTGACTTAGATCGGTTCGTGATACAAATGAGAACACAGATTTGTTGATAAAGCTAATAAATGCTATCAGTTAAACTACCCAATCACTGAACGAAACGTGATCCCATTCCGATCATTGAATATTTATAATAATACACACAGCATAAAATTGAATCTCCTAAATCAAATAGATTGTATGTTGAAGACAGATGAAAATACAATCCTTTTCACATCAGCAATCATTTGTATACAGGGATAGAAATAAAAAATACCATTCATGAATGGTGAAGATAATAGATGCAAATGTATGAAGAGAATGAGTCATCAACGCCTAGACGGTCAACTTAACCACAGAAGGAAGTAAAAAACTAAAACGAAGTTCTATACGAAATGATATAGGAAAAAACTGGGAAGCTTAATATGAAACATTGTGAGGTTAGCTAATACATAAATTTGGCGAAACCAAATAACGTGGAGTTTGCTGGTACATTTAACAACAACACAGAAAAAGGCATCAACGAAAAAGTTAACCATAGTAGAAAATAAACAATTTATGTATAGACATCGAGTAACGAAGTGTTTAAGATTTAAACAAACATAATAGGAAATGAAACCATCTTGATTTTGCTTGTCTGTGAGTTATGTCATGTGGAGTCTCCAGTTATTTCGTCTGCTAAATTGATAGCATATAATGCTGTCTGTGACAACTAAAGTAACTTTTATAACGGACATCACCAATTAAAGGTTTATAAACTTTGTTTTCTAACTGAGAAATAGAAACAACATCGAGAGAGAGATGAAAACAGCTGTGAAAACCCTGGAAACATGAAAGTCACAAAGTTCACTGCAACATGGTTGATTCACATTGGTTATGTTTACTACTAACCTTTTATTATTATTATTATTATTATTATTATTATTATTATTATTATTATTATTATTATGACAGTTGTATGCTATTATGGAAACGAAATGTATAGAAAAAAATGTGAATTTCTCCGTTACGTGGTTTGATTATTGTTTATTCGTACATTAAAACGTTCTTATTATTATATCGTTTCGTCTAGCATGATAAAAAATCGATGCCAGTGGTGAAACACTAGAACTTCATCAGATAAATTATACATGCACGAGCGTGCGTGCGTACGCGACCTTATAATAAATAACAATTAACTTCAGTTTCAACATATTTTTGTGAAATGTATATAGATGAAATTAATTTCTGTCGAATGATAATGATAGACAAAGGGAATGTATAATTGGAAACATTATTATAAACCATATAACAAGGTAAAAAATTATAAATCGATATCAAAAGAATAAATTCGATTGGTAAAACAGAGGGAATTATTTGAGAGAAGAAAGGAGATAGATTAGCTTAACAAAATATTTCATCATAACACATAAACATGACTGATAATATAATGCAATTGCTAGCAAATGTGTCACACAAATCAAAATGATAATATTATAAAGAAAAAGATGAGAAAAAAACCGTTTACAAAAATACACGAATAGTAAGGATTAATTTAGTAAAATCGAGTTTAGAACACATCTATGAGAGAATTCATTCAGTTGGAAAGCGCATTTCACTATATCAGAGAAATACAAATGGAAACTAAAGGGAGAATGCTTATTGGACTTTATTCTAGGCTACATCTGATACTATCTTAAGTAGTCACTGAGCTGTACGAATTCCGATCAGTAATTGACTTGAGACAACTATATTTCGGTAAAAGATGCCGTTTCATCACTCATTTCCAACATTAACTAATTGACAGAATTCTCTCAATGGCTATTGGTGTTTACTAACAAATGTAACAAGATATCAATGTGTCGATAAAATAAATAGCTTAACACGGTCATGAAGTGAAGAACCCAAATATTACACATAAAACAGCAAAATTAACCGCGTTAAACATCACAAACTTAAAACACACCAGATTTGTGTTACCGAATCAGGTAAACGTATTGCATGTAAACATTTACGCCAATCAGATACAGATGAATGAACATATAAATCACCATTTTGACAACCTAACCAAACAGTTGGTTGAGCGCTTGTAGGTGATGCAGAACATCTGGAATAACATTTCCTAGAAGAATATTGATAGTGACTATGCTGTGTAGATGATGAACAAGGATATTGTGTCACCAAATCGTCATTAATAGTAGACGAATGACCTATGGAAGAAGTAGAAATGTAGAATGTTAATAACAGACAGTGGATTTCAATAATTTATCAGAGAACACATGTACTATTGAAAATAAAGCTTTTTAGTGCTTAAGTTTCAATTTTCCCGATTCTGATGAGTTCGATAATATACGAAATACCTAATTAGATGCTTCTATATTGTCAATATCTTACTTAACCCAGTTTTGTGTAATTATCAACGCAAAAATGCGAATACAACTACTTAAGGTGTTCCAAGTTATATCAATTACAAGTACTAGATTTCACCAATCATCACTATTTAAAGTGATTTAACAACATACGTTATAACTTAGTGCTAGCTAAGTCACTGTGATCAAAGTTATTTAGTTATTTCATATAATGATGTGTGGTAGTGTAAGTAAAATATAGTAAATCGTTAGGCGTGGACAAAAAAACCACGGCTTACGGACTATTAAATATGTGATTTCCCTTTCTGTCATTGATTTCTGCTCCGGACTCACTGAGTGTAACTGCTTGTAATTGTAATCAATAAAATATTATCTTGTATTAATCAGGTTCTCTAATTGAAATCGTGAATCCTATTGCTGATATAACGTGATTAGTCTTATTAACGTATTATTGTAATATACGTGAGCGAGAAAAAAATATTTTAAATATCCGTTATATCATATAATTTCTACTAGATTCAACTAGTAGAAACTTCATTCAATTACAAAAATTGGGCTGAATATTACAGTTTTTTAAAGGATTATAACAATCAAGAAAAACCTATAAGTAAATTGGAAATGCAAGTAAAAAGTATATTATTTGTAAGTTAATCAATAGTAAAGTGTATTAACCGAATTCTGAATGAGGGGGCAACTTGATAGAGGAGTAAATGAGAGAACAATAGTAATACTCGCTATATCTCAGTAAAGAAATCTCAGCACAAAATATGCAGAATGACTATATAATTTTTGTTTTATGGGCAAAAATACACAAAAAATATTTATAAAACGTTTTTAAACAGTAATTAGCTTTCTTTCATATTAATATGTAAATGTTTACGACTATTCCATCCTCAGTGATATCTCTTTCCATAAATGAATATATTTAGCGTATGAATTCCGTTGTAATCGTTTCTTGTTTCTCCATAAGACAGAGAAAGAAGGGAATATACGAACTACCTTTGTGGTAGTTTCTACATAATTAGATTTGTAGTACGTTGCAAGCAATGTACGAAGCTGTGTAAGCACGTGAGGTTAACAGACATAACTAACTAACTTGGACAAATTTCAAAGCTTTTCTAAAGCAAATTTGGTATGTGGTTATCTGTGGGATTTAGAACGGACATTTTATACGGTTTGGGACATGTAAGAACGGAAAAATATGAACCCTCACACATAAAATACATCCTCATAACTAAGCAAATACCGCGTTAATTCTTGAACCGAAAGATGCTAGGTCCGAGTCTCAGTACGAACATCAACAATGGAAAGCATATGCATATAGCTGACGAGCCCCAAATAGTATGAAATAGGCCTCCTCGATTTCAGTGCTACCTACATGCCAAACTTTTGACTAAAGGCTTTATCAAGGCGATAGAGGCTGGTCACTTGTAATCTTTAACATCAATAACAGGAAAAAACGTTTTCTTACAAATCACATGGATGTTTGGAAAAATGATGACATCATGACAACAGTTTTTAGTGAATTGATAGATTCTTCGGACAGAGTTTACACTTTCATAATATATTAGCTGAATAATTTATAAAATTAAGTGTCAGAAATCTGAAAATTTCTATCAGTGGACGTTTACATCTGGAACCTATCAAAAAATGAATTCATCAATCAAAATAACAATAATTAACAAGGTTGTATGCTGGTTTCATCACAAGTGTGAAAATGAGCATTCGAGGTAAACGTCACCGGTTATGCTAACAGTGTTTCGATAGTTACGGGTTCTAACCAACTTTAAATTTCACTGTGAATATTTTTTTATCGTTGAATAAATGTTTAATATACGGAGTTGTCTGCATGTAAGTATTGTTGAGTTACGGATGATACAAAATGGCTAATTTGAAAGAATGATAAGCACTTACTACTAAACATTTCATTGGAAGGTTGAACAGCACAATCACCGTTATTACTAATACAGGAGTCACAATCTACATGATGTATAAGAAAACGTCTTCTTGTCGCTACATAAGACATCGTCACTTCATCAACATCATTCACTGAACCAATAATTCCAAGTGCATTAACCAATCGTCGTGTAGATGATAAATGATCAATCGCTTGTTTAATAGATGAAAAATGTGATGACGATGATGATGTTGGTGTTGACGTTCTATGATATTTACTTTCTTGAACAATTTTATTTATTTTCTGTGGAGTGTTGTTGTTAGTATCGTCACAATCAAGGAATTTAAATTCTGTACATTCATTTAATGAACAAGGGGCATTCACATCGTATTTTTTTGTTTTCGTTTCTAACATATCCGCAGTCAAAGACTGACCAGTTTCTAAATCACCAGAAAATGAATCCATTGGCAACATTTTCCAATAATGGTCTGTATTTTCCAAGCAGGTTAAATCTTCGATTGATGCTTCTGAAATCCAATACACACATAAAAATGAGGTTTAATGCAAACGGCTTTTTGCAAGATGATATAGAGTACCGGGATTGTTGAAAATTGGTGAAAACTCCACAGCTCTTTCGTCCAATTGAACGGAATACTCAGTAGTGAGCGCACGCGATGACTTATGAGACCGAATCTGAGACCTACAGATCTCACGACAGGACATGATATATTTAGAAAATTAAGTTTAAATTAGATAACCTTTTCTTTATCACGTAGTATAACAAAAGTTCAAATGTCTATTAATTTTTCTGTATTATAACACACTTTAATAAATAGTTGATACACATGAGCTAAAACAGTTTCATTAATAAATAAAGTTTGCCAAAATTATCTAAACATAATTATTATTACCCACTGAACTCAATATTTAATGTGAGTAATAACTAGTACAGAATTTAGCTATTATTATATCTACTGAAAGATTAAGACCATGGATTTATATAGATCTCACTCATCAAATCTTCTGTCACACAATATTTATTGGTTATTGATGCATAGTTCTATTTCCAGTGTTATGATCACCACCAATGTATCATCTGCTTCACAAAATATACATTCAAGAATTCCCATATTCATTACTTAAACAAAGGATTATTAACAATCGCCAAACAACTATTGATAATTGATTTTATTTGAACGAGAAAAATACGATTGTTCATCATAATACAATGTTAGTATTCCATGAAGACAACCTTTTTTGTTAGCTGAAGTATACGTATGCAAACAAACTTATCGAATGGCATAATTTGATGGTTGAAGATGTGAATTAACTCAGAACTGTTTATGTAATTGATTATTCTTTCTTGTACAGAAGGGAAAATTTGTAAATCTCTCAACCGTTAGAAACTACGGGAAGAAAAAGTGGGATTATATACGAGGAAATTTTGAAAGAGGACATCATTCACCCACCTGGGACACTGCATATGCATAAAACTGTCGAACTACAGATAGCAAATGAATCAACCGATTGACATGATTTATAATCTACATGTACAATAGTGATTAAACTTTTTATTCTCCCAGAATAATCTGAACTGGTGAACGCTGTAGATGACGATGATGATGTTGATGAAGAAGAAGACGGAGCTTTTATTGCTGTTAAGTCATGTTTCAAAGAGAAAGAACTTAACCAGATAATATTTGATTGAACATCTGAAAACTAAAGATTGAAACCAAAGGGATTTAGCAATATAAGAATCAAAATTCTGAGTCAGTTACTTAAGAAAAATCAGATTTGGCAACATGGTGAGAAAGATTGGAAGGTTTCAAGTCATTAGAAACAATCCAAAACAACGTCCTAGACCTAGGTTTCATGCTAGTTGCTATTCATCAACAAAGTGCATTTAGGAAACCAGTACTATGGTGTGATTTAAATACAAGTCACCAGGTATTACATTTAAAGGAATTAACATACATACTTTATCTGTGACTTGCTTTCTGTAGAACCGAAACGTTTACACTGATTGATATAGTGTTCTAAAAAACGCAGATACACGCTTATATGTGTCAATTAATATAAAGCTTAAATTTATGGTCTTATCAAATGGTTCCAGCTTCTTTATGTCACAAAACGTTTATCATAACTTTGAGTCACTGAAACCTGATTCATAAAACTTAATCATTACTAAGGCCTAGACAATATAATAGTGTTTGTCGTTGAGTGACCAGTTACCATATTTCGGGTAAAACTTCGATTGTTAACGAATAGTAAGGCAACACACTCTATAGAAAATATAGACTTAGCTAAAAGAAGATATGATATGATATATACCCTAGAACTCAAGTGATAGTCATGCATTTAACTTAAATGAGCTTTTTGAGACTGTTCAGAATTTTAATGTACTTAGCAAATCAATACAGACATGTAGTTAGAACAACAAGATAGGGATTTCCAATATATTTTGCAAATTTTATAAGAATGTCGATTATTATTTTGATCACGAGCCGAAAGCAGCTAGATAACTACTGAAAACTATGGTCCACCAAACATCTATTAAACCGTCCTGATTCAGGATACTTCAGCAGCAGTGCGCACTGAAAAACCTCACAAAAATCCACCCTATGAAATTTAGGTTTCATGAAGGGGGTGATAAATTAGAACTATTGAATCGGTATCTTATTACTACTAGTTACAATGGTTCTCTCAGTGATGCAAGCTCATAAAAAAATCTATTTTTTAATTAGATTAATATCACTACAAACAATTCCGATTAAATCACATGGAATTCATAAGTACAAGAGTTTAAGAATTATACAAACACGAAGATGAACAAAATTTACTTGATCGTCGATTAGCGCTGAATAATCAAAAGAATCATGATCACTGGATAAATTACCAATAGAATGATTATACATCGATTTTTTGAAAATTCCCACTTTTGACTGTTGTTGTTCGTGTGATTTAGGATGTTCTAATTGATCTGAATTACTGTATGTAGACAATACGGTAGTATTGACATAATCGTCATCTTTAGAGGATTCTAACTGATTTCTGAAGTAAGCAGTGAAAAGTAAATTGTTCATGGTAGGTGATGAAACAGATGAGTGAGACGTAGAGTGATATGGATATGTGACTGCTGCGCAACGTAGCTTGAAGCAAAATGAGAAATGTAATAATATGTAGAAGACTGAAAAACTCATGTAATTGTAATTGCACTGAACTGAAGGACATGAATAACTCTTAAAATCACCTTGAGTTTTCGATATTCCTCACTAACTAGTAAGCATATAGATAGGCTATCTGAGAACCTCACATCAAAATAACACCAAAACATACAATAAACAGTGTTCTAGTTTATATGCTGAAATAATTTTTTCAAGGATCATAATCAGGCGTCTCAATTTCAATACAGAGATAATCTTGGTACAGGAGCTCAATTTATTTTGGAACCTTTTACAAGATCGTAAACAGTTTGTTTTATCAACAATTTAGACTTCAGTGATATTTTAATCAGTTTAGACTGCATTTACAAAACAGTTGAGCCTGTTTGATAGTAACATACTGAGGAGTCTGAAGTTAGTTATAAGCAAGTTGTTGGTTCAAATTCTGTGATGAATCACTTTTTGGACAACGTTGACCAAACTGCCTGTAAGAAATAATGATTTACCTGCCTAGGTCATTGATTTACGAAGTACAGGCATATGCGATTGACTTCAAGTCACCATTATCATATTACTAGGATGTCTACACCGCAGTAGAGGTAGCAGAGTTCGAACCTGCATATTTATTATTATTTAAACACATAAACATTGGTACAAGGAGGCACCAAGTACATATGGGCCACATAAATCATTCGACTTATTTGAGAGCTGGGATACTTCCCGGGTGCCCAAACCGAAGCAGGTGGTTTTCTTACGAGGCCACATCTAAAGCCTATGACCTAAAGGTCTGATCCACAAGGTAGTGGAGCAACGTCAGAAGATGCAGTCTCATGGAAGCCGGTGACAGGCGATTGGTTCATACGCCATTTGTTCCTTCAGGATCCTGGATTTCATGTACACTATTGGGTTGGAATCAGGGTTTTCCAACTACCCTATGTGTACTCTCCGTGGCACCAACCCGGTTAAAGCACCGGATATCCACTGAAGTTAGTTATAAGGAAGTTGTTGGTTCAAATATATCAAACAACCCAATGTTAACTGATTGAACACTTGGTAACTTCCTACATAATAGAGCAAATGTTCTCCACTACTCATCGATAATTATTGATAATAAGTTTCATAATAAATGAAAATTCCATAGATAAAAATGCAGTTATCCTATGGAAAATATTGCAACGTTCATTATAAAATGGGATAAATACGATGAGCGATTCGCTCACACTTAGATTCCATTAGTTTATCTATATAATAAACATTCGACAATAAAACAATTCAGAATTTGATTTTGGAAATAGGATAGAATTAAATAGTATGTTATAGTAGAATAAAACGCATTTATTGGACAACAAAAATTTGAGGGCATCCAAACACGCATATATATATATATCTATATATATATATATGCCAAAATTTAGTAATCAGATGCTGATAAGTTATATAACACAGATCAGTGACAATAATGTATTTATATTAGTCTCATATGGTATAGTAAATTCATATTAATGATAAATAGAATGCTCATACTTAGTTATGCTTATATAGTTTTCGATAATGATATTAGAAGACGAAGATTAACAGAACTATGTGATATATTAGCGCAATACATTTCGAACAATCTGGTCACACATATACTTGTTAAGAGCATTTATATATAAAAATAAAAGGTCAACTAGACATCTCCTCTTACCTCGTTTCCTGTCTAGTTGACCTTTTATTTTTATATATAAATGCTCTTAACAAGTATATGTGTGACCAGATTGTTCGAAATGTATTGCGCTAATATATCACATAGTTCTGTTAATCTTCGTCTTCTAATATCATTATCGAAATTTATCAAAGGGATTAGTTGTTTTATATAGTTTTCTTGGTTTTTACTTAGGAAGGCATTTTGTTCCATTTTTAAAATGATACATTGAAACAATTAGCTGATGAAATGATATAATTTTAGATAGGGTGTAAAAATCTTGAGACGCAACGGAAGTAGTGCACATAGCCAACAGACCGGATCAGTAATAAAGTGATGAAGCATAGTTAAAAGCATTTGGCCTACCGTTATCGATATAATAGGTTGTGTATTAATGCCATTTCTTTTTCTCTTTCTTTTGAAGCTTTATAGAAGTCAGTTTAATCCCAACTAACATTATGCATTATGACAAATGGTAGCTAAGCATGATGAAAAAATGTATTGATTTTTACTAAAACCTAGTAAGTCAGTCATCAAATAGGAGTGATACTCAGATATTACGTAGAGCGATGTAAATGGTAGTATAACGAATAGCATACACTTACCTCTACACTGCTAGGATAATCATTTAATGGATAAACGTAGGCAACTTTTAAATTTCTTCGGTCCAACGTATGTTCATTTCTGTGCGAGTACCACTGGATAGGAGAGGTACATCGTTGATGCCTCCTTTGAGATGACTCAGTAGAATCATTTAAATCCCTATATAAATACACTGAATTTAGTTGAGAATAAATTTTATGTAATCCATAGTGAAAACTTATGAAGATGGTTCATGTGAAGGACTTAAGTCTTTTGGGTTTACAACAAGACCTGAAGTTCTTGAGTGGACATATTGAAGAATCCGAAATTAGAATGTAAAACCCACTGTCTTATTTTCAATAGTTTGCCAGGTGATATATTAAACTGTAAGGTAAACTATCTTCGAATGGAATCAATGTCTACCAGCTACTCAACTAAATAATGAAATATATATTTTGACAGGAAAAAAGGCATATAACGCCAGTAATCTGAAAATAGATATTAACTAACGCCGATCAACAATAATTTATGTAAGTGAAACGGTTACCCATAAAACAATGATAAAGTAGTGTCCCAAACTGATCGCGTAATTCATGGATCTATGTTGCTAGCTGATAAGTCTTGACGAGGACAGGAAGCATACCTATCGATTCTAATGTCAATCATAATAACTAAATATTATTAGAAAGGGTCGAATAATATATGGACATGAATTTACTGCATGTTAGAGGTAAAGACCAGTAAGCATGGTCATGAGAAGTAGAATTAGATGAACTGCTCCGAAAATTTCTAATGTATGAAGGTCCAGAACAAACAGCTCGGATGACTCAAATATGAAAGTCTTAAGTGCTTCTAGTTACTGATTATTCTCATAGGCAGTACAAATGAAGTGTTTCATGGTTGATGATAAATAAGATCTCCCAAAAAATTTCTAGAATAACTCATTAAATATTTGTGTAGTAATATAATATATAAAATCCAAAAGTTCAATTATAAAGCATTTTTGGAAGGTATCATTCCTAGTTGAACAAAGACTATAATTATTCACCTTATGAATAGCAGATGAAAACGTCCATGACTATCTTGATTAATTAAAATTGAATTTTAGTGACAAACAACGAAACTGATATGTCATGGTAAATATAAATGATGAGTTGCAAAATATAAAGATAATACTTTTTAATAAATAAAGTATTAAACTTTTATTATCCAATCAAAGGCACTAACCTAATACATGTTTGTTTCATCGAAATGTTCCAATTTGTTAAATGTTGATTTAGATCACTATCACTTGTAGTCTTTTGAATTGACATAGATGTATTTGGATTATTTGTTTCATTTATCTGTGATAGTGATGAAGATATTGTAAATTCATTTGGTGTACTTAATCTGGATATTGAATTATGCATAGATTGTATTGTTGATTGAGAAGTGTTCATAGATGTTGATAGATTAAATGATTTACTAGATGATTGTTGTGAGTTAAATAGTTTAGCAAAACTACATTTTAAAAAAAAGGAAGATAAATATATACAAATTAATTTTAAAAAATGTAAAAAAATAAACAAACAATTTACAAGGCTCTAATACGTCCACGTTTAGTACCATGAATGGTATTTGCCATTTTTGATGTTTGTTGAACTTTTAAATTATGCGTTAAATGAACAGCTTCTTGTAATTCTAATAATTGTTCTTTATATTGATTTCTTTCTAGCAAAACACGTGCCATTTCTACACGTGAAAATCGAAAACGCATAGATAATGGAAGATGCTGAAAAGATAAAATAAAAAAAGGGAAAACTTGAAATACATATAATAAGAGATAAGTACAAAATATCGATTGATTTCGTTTTGTTTACAGGAAAATATTAAGTGAAATATAAAAAAAACAGTGTACATTGAATACGAACATATTCAGCTATTGAATAATTAATGGACGCATATATCAATAACAAAAAAACCGCCAAAATTTCAAAGAGCAACATAACTATTAACATTTGACACTACGTCCTACGTTGTTACCGACCGATGTGGTCGATGCAGCCACGACCAGGTTTGAAGCAAGCTTCATTCTCTCATGTTTGCAGTTAACGAGTCTTAGTTAGGTGTCCGATAATTATGGAAGCTAGTATTTTAGATGCTATATCAGTTAAACTAATCACTCTATGGTTGTAACAGTATGATTTTGACCCTCTCATATATATTGGGACGATAAGTGATTGTGACCAGTCAGATGGGATTACGTCTAACTCCCAGATTTTAGCTAAAATATTAGCTAACCTAATCGCTAAGATTGGGCCACTATCCTTAAAGACCTCTGGAGCCAACCCATCTGAACCAGCTGCCCTTCCTTAAACTGTGAGATTAAAATTAATTTATACATTTCTTTCCCCGTGTATTATATATATTCCATAAATGTTTAGCAATATACCAGTCTTTATTTTCAGAATAAATTGTTTGGTTTGATTCAGTCTACATGGATCATTGATAGGTAATGCTATCAATGTAGGGATTACTAAAAATGCACAAAAAACTACTAATTAAGCTTATGTTGGTTGTCATTTATAAAATGAATAATTCAATAAACTGAAAACACTGTGGTGATGTTGACAACTTAGACCTTGAATAACATAATTCGAAACCGGTCAGTGTTGCATGGCAAAACCGTCTTTGAAATGAATCATAATAACAGCCAAATATCAGCTACTTGTATACACTTGAGTAATATATATTGCGAGTATTATGTGTAAAAGCTCTTACAAAATTATGTTCTGTGATAGTTTAAATTGAAATGAGAAAATGTAGGGAAAACAACCATCATATCGTGTAAACCAAGAATAACTTTATGGTGAAAAAAGTTCTTGGAATAAAAGACCTACTTCACTCTCAGATATTTCATCACCAGGTAAACTTCCATACAAATCAGAATTTTCAAATTCTCGACGTAATTGACCATTTTCTTGTTCTAAATCTTTTATACGTAATAGCATACTTGCACGATTTGTAATCAAAGCGTTCAGTTCAGATGAGAACTGAAAATTTTGGCTGAAAAATAAAATCAATACAAAAAAGTCGCTCACAAATGGTATAAAAGTAGAGAGATAAAATAGAAGTATTGATTTATTTGCTGTTATACAACGCGCTTAAATGTGCAAAATATCTATCGATCTAAAGCATTCAAGTTTATAGATATAGAAGGTTGGATAACCTGCTATACTCATTACACTTTATTACAGCTGGGGACAATGTCAACTGGATATAAGAAAGACTCCATTTAACTAATCTCATTTTCAAGTTTACTATCTTATTCCATAAAACGCTCACAAACCTGAAAATAAAGTAACATTTTTTTCGTTTGGAACTTCTTTCGATAGGCTTTCAATCAAAGGATTACAGAATGATGAGGCTAGAAATAAGTACATACTGTAACATCAAGTAATTTATTGATTTAATTACTTATCACCATGAATGCGTTTATAACATCATAAGGAGGTGAAGCGATGAGATTGTGAACGAGTTAACAATTATCCATATAGATTGCGTTTGTTATTAGATTGAGATATCGACATAAGGTGAATCGGGTTAAATTCCCCAACTTATGTGTACAAAGATTTAATCATGTTGTATACCGAACGTCAAGTGATTATGTTAATTTGGTCATAACACAAGTAAGAAAAACTTTTCGGAACTACAGAAAAAACCAAATGACTATATTTATCTACTTGAGGCCTCGAGTAAAGATTGTTCACACTTCGTAAAAAGCATCAATGGTTTTAAGTAAATAGAAATCATATTTAGTCAAGGAGGACATCAGATCGATTACCTTCAAACATCTCGCCTATTTCACTATATGAATAATATGTGCTCCGTATTCCGGAAGTTGAGTGTTCGTTGGAACTCATTGACGTATATTAGCTAGTGATGTTTTTTCTACTAATTGGACCTAAAACTGACATAACTGACCGACTGCCTTCAGTTAGTGAACTAATCAATTTTCCCTTTAGTAATAATGATTTAAAACACACTACAAGAAATATAACTTTGGGTTTTAACTGTTACTTCTCAAGTTATAGGAAAATTTAGATGTTAACAACTGGATAGTACAAACAAAGGTATAGATCATTCTTCATAAGTCATTTCATTGTACAATGCTCATATTGATCCCATACACACACCATAATAAATTAATCCATGAAAAGATAGCAAGTATCAGTGAGATTATCCTAACTCAAGATAATTCATTTACCAAGCACAAGGTTTATGCAATTAATATGAGTCATACTTTTTATATGAAAACTAATGATACTACTCGGTTGGCTAATCCAAAGCAAATGTTCAGGGGTCTGCACCGGACAACTTAATTGTTAAAACTAGAGTGCTTTAGCAAATAAATTACCGGTTTATGAATGAATATATACGACATCTACGGTGCAGAACTAAAATGATTACATTTTTTACGACAAAAATAAAAAAAACAAAATCAATATTTCACTAACCATGAAAGTTCATCAATCCGTCCGATTAGGTCATTTGTAACTATTTTAAGTGCATTTCTAAAATGAATGAGCAATGTAGTAAATATAGAAAGACGAGGAATAAATACTGATAACTGGTGAACAAACAAATTATAACAAAACTGCTACTGAATGGTTTTTCAAATTTACGAAATAGAGAATTTGTTTGAAAATTTTTTTAAGTAATCTTTTAAATCGAGTAAGCACATAGTGAAGTGTCGACCAGGGTAGTAAGTTTAAGACATGTATGATTTATCTGAAAAAAAGTCATATTCAGCTGTATTTACTTCACGACTAACGTATATACAGAATAAGAAGCCCCACAATACTCAGTTTTCATTTGTTCAGTTAGAGAATTATCTACATAATACAACTTTAAACAATACTTAGTAAAGTAGCGATACAAATATTGACCGGGATTCATTCATGTATTAGAATCGGAACTTAAGACATTACCTAGCCATTTACTGTATTCATGAAATACTAAAAAATATTTATGAATTTAGAGTTACAGTGAAAAACACTTTTAATAAAATTGGTCTGGTAATAAAATAATGGCCCTGGTACGGCCGAGAGTGGGGAGAGTTCGCTCTCCCTCTCGAAATGCTCTCACATGACCACGTGCATACAACCAATGCCAGGGAAGTCCTACTCACTGCCTTCTCGTGGCATTATTGTTCTTTACGAAATTGAGAGGACGAAAAGCGAATGTCCAGCGCTTTACCCGGGTTGGTGGACATGGAGAGTCCACCTAGGGGAGTTGGAAAACCCTGATTCCAGACCAATGGTGTACATGGGCTCCAGTATCCTAAAGGAACAAATGGCGTATGAACCAATCGTTGGTCACCGGTTACCATGGGACTGCATCTCCTTACGTTGCTCCACTACCTTGTGGATCAGACCCTTAGGTCATGGGCTCTAGGTGTGGTCCCCTAAGAAAACCACCTGCTTCGGTTTGGGCACCCGGGCAGTACTACAGCCCTCACATATCAAATGAGATTTGCGTGGCGCATATGCATTTGGTGCCTGCTTGTAGCAATATCTATATGTTAAAATAAATAAATAATAAATAATAAAAAGTATATAGAACATCCTTTCCTTTGTTTTTGTGACCATTCCCTGATTTTCACTTTACCTCCAGTGGTCGTGTGGGATATGATAACATAAAGAAGTTCAATATTAGGGGAGATTTCCTGGTACTGTGTTTATTATTTGCTTGATCTTCTAGTTGTGAGAAAAGTTTGTGCGATAGAACTAATGCATATAATATTAAAGTTATTAAGGATTTATTTTAAACAGAGTAGTGGTTTAACCAGGAAATTAGGGAGGAATTTTCAAATAACCAAGTTATGCGTTTGATACACCAGTAATTACATAGTGTCATTCTACGTGTGAATCAATCGAATAAAAACAGATTACTCTAAATTTCTAGTCTAAAAATATAAGTTCAGCGTAGAAATGTTGCACAAAATGCTTACTAATATTACCAATCAATGGATGTTGTAATAACAGAGTTCAGCTTTAAGTACATAAATTAAAATGATCTTATTTTCAATCAACAAGGCGTACCATAGTGCGAATTATGTAAAATCTTCAAAAAAAATTATCAAAATTATTACCGGGAAGGATTTCCGGAGCCACTATTCAGCTAATCAACATTAATTAAACACTAATATAGCAGTACTTAATTAACAAATCAATAAAGAAATGAAAGTGAAAATGTGCTTTTTGTAATAGCAGAAGCCAGTTTATTACGCTTATCAATACAGCTTAACACAAATTGATAACAATTATTACTACAAATCACTACTGAATTTAGACAAAAATTTATTCATTTAGTATGGGTCTAACACTACACAAAGTGTGGTGTGTGTTACTTATATTGACATAAGCAGTAGATGATGTTAGTCGTGAACAGAATGTCTGGCATCAGAGACAAGAGGATCGAACAGTAAAGAATGGAAACAGAATGAAATTTGTATGAAAATGCAAGAACAATGAAGTTTGAGTCATTATGAGACAACTGATGGACATTTTGCAAATTACGTATTTACTATTTGATTGTTAGATTTTATTAACAAGTCCTGTAATTTTGTGTCAAATACATTCGATTGTCCCCACTCGTGTTCTGTTCACTACAAAAGTACCTCCCACATCTTCGAGGATCATAACAATATAGATGGCTCACTAACATGGGCAGTTATATTTTCTTTTAGGTTCAGAAATTAACTTCCAATAATAATCTCAAATGAAAACTAAGTCACACATGAACGTTTGGGCTATCATACAGTGGATAGCCCGGATTGTTTAGATGTAATATATAATTGTGCTCCTAAATTGTAGCGAAACAGCTGGAGGAATAAAATACAGCAAGACAGGTAATAAATGTAATAATCAGTCGTGAAACTTGTACAATATTCGTTCGAAAGATTAGTTTGATTTAGAAAGTATAATGGAAAAACTATTCATTCATCAATTTTCAAATAAAAAAATGAATTTTCATTCTTACTTTGTTTGGACTAATTCTTGATTCTCTTTTATTAAGTTCTGTATTTCTCTCCGCACACCTAGGAAATACGACAACATTATGATGAAATATCATTAAAGAAAGAACAGTGATCAGATACTTTTATTAATCATTATTATTGACGATAAATTTTATGCCCAACTAAGATGTGAATGACAGACGACTCACTGTGTAATACAGTAGTGACTATCAGTGATAGGTAACCAATTGGCAAATGACTCTTGGACATCCTATTGAGTAATTAAATATTTAGCTAATAATTTAGGGAGCCTGTCAACTACATTGTTGATTATTATTAGAAACGATTTGAATCAACGCGTTTATTTTAGAAACGTGCCACAAAATCTCTATCCATTTCGTCATTTCAGGAAATTAAGTTATGGTGTAAGTAATTTCGTGATTATTTCTACTACTTTCCTATGTAAAGACAGTTTAAGTTCGTATTTATACAGCAGGTGTGCAAACGAAGGCATATCTTACACTTTCGGTACAATCTAGATGAGAACTTGACATACAAAAATCCCAACAAAAACAGCCAAGCCGGATGTTAAAGAAAGACAAGGGTTTGATTAGTAGTCAAGTCAGTACATGACATTTTTATAGTTCTGTATAAACTGAATGACTACCTAACGTTGAATCACTGGCAGTACATGTCAAGGTTCATCAGGAAGAAGAAGAGTAAACGAGCTATTCAGGTAGACATGTCTGAGCTGCATCCAGCTCAGAGAACAAAACTCCACCAAAATCATCCACCTGAGCTACAAATCTTCTCCACCATCTCAAAAACTATAAAGTGTGAATATCCCCAGAGGCAGCCTATTGACCAAGTTTGACAAACATTCAACATGTCCAATCTGATACGCTAACCATACATACCGACTGAGGAAAGGAACTGTAAATAAATCAAAAATGATGTCAGTGTAGCTCAGAGTGCGTCACACTTATCAACTAAATTCCCAGAACTTACAGCACTATCACTTTCTTAGTCGTTTCGTGGTTTGTACTAATGATGTCGATAGATATAAGTAGTATGTGTCATCAATCGAGAAAGAAACACCTGTCAGCACAAGGTTAAGAAGATCGAAAAGAGAACGAGAACAGAGAATTGGTGTAAGAATGAAGAAACAATAAAGTTTGGGACGATTGATTGAAATTTTGCAAATGAAATATTTATTGTATGGTTCTCAGATTTTACTAAGACATTCTGCAATGTTGTATTAAAATACATTCGATTGTCCCTACTTGTGTTTTCGTTCACTAGTTTTACTTGCTACTTAATTTTACCTGAAATTAATTTTCTACTACTCTGTGCGATATCAGATAACTATCCAAATAATCTTTTAGCTGCTGTTAGAGTTATATATGCAATGTGAGTCAGATTCACATATTTGACCCTAAAGTTGGCCTATAATATAACCGTCAGACTTGATCTTTATTGCACAGGAGTTAAGTACTTTTTCATATCCAGAAAAGCACACCATATATGTTGTTGAACTAAAAGGACAGTATTGGAGGTAAGTCCAGACCACAAGTTCCAAAACATGCATCTTGGATTTCACTGCTAAACACCATACAGCCCTGCTTATAATGCTTGCTACCTAATGGAAATGTCGGGGCGATCCGTGCAGGATGATCGATTGCACTCCTATACATCAATTGAAAGATGCAAGCAACCAGTACAAATAAAAAATAGGTCTGAGTATGTAAATGACATGTTACAAAACGTCAGAAATTCTGACTACTATATATTGCAATGTCATAAATATTTATGAGTTGCGATAGCTTCAAGCAAATGAAGATTCAAAGACTAGTGTATTTCACTGGTTGCAAAAAATGTAATCAGTCACTAATATATGGATGTAAGGCAAACGTTAACCTGCAGCCTAAACATTTGCAAAGTACGTCCTCAGAGTATCGAGTCAACCATAAACCATTACAAGTTTGCAGAACCAGTCTATATCGGATAATGACAGCAACTGAAGAAGCAAGGAAAAGTAAAGAGCATTGGACATGTTTTGTACCCATCAGGAATGTGCAAAGAATGTTAGCATGGCGCGCAGTGAAAGCTCCAGAAATCAGTCAAACTTACTAAAAAACCTATTCATTCTGTATTGAGTGACGCAACTAATACATAAGTAACTAAATTCAATCTATATTGGTGCTACTGGATTAGAGATAATTTAGTAAGGCATAAAATGACTGCTTTCAAGTAGTTGTCATATCATTATTTCACTGAACCTTTACTTCATAAAGGGAAGCCTTAACCGACCACGTGATTAACTAATCATGTGCTTTGTAAAACGGATTTCGATCTCTCTCTAATCGATAGTGCACATAATCATCACAAAACAGACGTTATTTATTTAGTAACAGTAAATATAAAAATAGATATAAACAGACAAAATTATCTGAAGCATACAAATACGTGTAAATAGAGTAATAGATGTTCTTATAAAACGCTTGATAATTATTTGTAAGCAACTGTTTAACATTGAACTATTGAATTTAGGTATAAGATTTACATTTTTAGATTGAACTAACAACTGTCTATAGTTGGTGGAAATTTTTTTGGGTATGTTGATAAATAAATATAAATTGATTACTTGTTTTAAGTGTAATACTGATTACCAGTCTACTATGTGTTAAGTGAAATAAGATACACATAGACTGCGAACGTTTGACTGTATTTATCTTCACAGCATTGTTTGTAAATGATGACTTAGCAACTATGAAGTTAGATAACAGGTTCGAAGAAAAATAGGCTACCTACTTTGGTAGAGTTGTGGACATGAGGTAACTGATGGTTTGAACATTTGTTATGTTTCCTAAGTTACTGCTTACCCTGACATGCAGCTTTCGCTTATGTGGGATCAACTCGGTGACAACTTAAGGGTAACCAGATCAAGACAATATACTACTATATGAAATTACTGTTTTGAGTTATTGGAAGAAAGGTAGGCTTTTCACGTAGTCTTGGATGTAACAGAGGTTGCTAGTTGAGGATACTACATGGCACTTCTTAAAAGTGTTAGGACGTGATTATTTAACGTATCACAAGTATATAGACTTTTGTTGATAATGAACTGCAATCTAGAAAAGTAGATTTAATCTAAAAAACAGTAACTGAGAATTCCCAGACAGTATTGCAGTATGCATTTTATAGTACGTTGTAGTTAGTGAATGTCTACCTACGTATAAAGTATGATTAACTCACGTTTTATATTATTAAAATGTCTGTGTGAATTGGTCTCAATAATTTATAAATACATAACTTAACCACCAGGTCCCAGATTTGATAAACTCTCACGTTTATTTGATTGTGATGACCATATTGCTGTTTTAACAGTAAAATATTAAATGTCCATTAAAGTCTTAGTACGTAGACAGGGTTTTACTGAGGTTTTATGGCCGCAAATATCTAACTGAGCGAAACGAGAGTACCTATTTTAAACTTCCTAACTGAATAGTAAAAGTAAAAACATCTTGTCTATGATGGATATCTGAAATAAATAACTAAATGCTTTAAGAGTCTATCAAGTGAGGTTAAATACTATCATCATGTTATGAAAAAGATTGTTTAGTTGATATTATTAAAAATCAATCATAAGCAAATACTTTGTTTTCGTTAGTTGCACTACAAACAAAAAGAACGTTTCAATAGGCCTCAATGCCAAGGTAGGGTTAAGGTTGATAGTTTCGAATAAATTGAGGATTTAGTAGAGAGCTAATAATAAATGTATTTCTGACGTTTCGTGACTTAATGTAAGCCACTTCAGAGTAAATAAATAACCGGAATTAATACAAGTTCGAATGACGCAAACGAAACACTACTGAAAATATTCTGCGTTGTTTCTTTTGTACTATGTAAACTTGTGTTAATTTCATCTCGGTTATTTATTTATTCTGAAGAAGTGGCTTACATTAAGTTATGAAACGTCGGAAATACTATTTTTCCGCTCATTGGGATATGACGGAAAATATGTTTATTAACGTTTCAATACTTTTTTAAAATCATACATTAGAAGTCACTCAGTTTAAAGAACTTTACTGTTTAAAAAATTCATATTAAAGTTGGAAATACTATTAGTTGAACAAATTCTTTAACAGTAATTCACTGTCTGAACTAAGCAAATTTTCCCGATATATAAGTCCGGCAAAGATAAATCAATAAATTGATGTTATAAACACTTATCTGCCCATCAACAGCTGTTAACCGTTGTGAGCGTTCTTACGATTAATCACATTACCCAATATAATCTATAAAGACGCTATTATTGTCGATAGGTTCAAACTTTTAAAAACGAAAGTTGAACAACGCGTTTCTCGAGACGATTTCAGTCGACTGAACGAGCGGTAAAAGCACAAAGCGCCATCAACACATGAAGTCATTAACAGTCGGACTGAGCTATGTTGTTAAATACAGGTTACCTTGCTTTGTCCTGTGCGACTATATTGACCAATAGCGGCAGACGTTGGACGATATGGCTCGAAATCGGAAGTACTTGTACAGATGTATATACTCACTATATCCCTTAGAACCTGTGTTCATACATTTAAACTGCCAATTCATCCATCCTAACCAAATGGCATTCTCTGTATCTGATGTTTGCTACTTCTATAGATACTGATGTTTCTACTACTTTGGTATTTAATTCGGTATGGAGGTGGGAAGTGAAAACCTAAGATGATGAGCAAGTGTATACACGATTGTACAGCCAGACAATAAATTTGTGTTCTTACGGTTTAAATTCGTGATATATTGTGATAACATCTACTTGTCTTATTCCTAACATTGTTGAATCCCACCAGCTATGAATACTTAGCACAAGCTCAAAGTGTTTAAAGTTAGAAATATGAGCAGCTTGATTTTAAATCAAAGATTGAGGATGAAATGCGCTCCGTATGAGATCTGTAGATTTGTGGGTGTGGATTTCTGAAGTTCCAAACTCGGGTAAAAATTGTTGAGCATTAAATACATGTTTTATTCTAGTACGAATGAACGCACCCTTGTATTGGTTAAAAATATGTTTAGTAAATTAAAAGTATTTAATGGAGGGATTATGTGATGGTAGAATTTTTAAGGTCTAAATTACGTACTGATCATAGCTAGACCACCACGGAAAACCTGGGAGCAATGGACGGCCATTCCGTTCCAGTGTGGGATTTTCAAGCAGTGCCCATACCCGACCATGTTGGTTGTGAAACAGTTGTCCACCTGAAGCAATGGATGAGGGTCGGGTTATATCGTTAATTGGTCGAAGTTAGGCATTAACACCGTTGAATACCTGTTCAGAGGTTAGTCGTTCGCGAGATCGAAAGTCCCAGGTTCGACCTCCGAGTGCGGAATGATGGATGTCCATCGCTGACGAGTTCTGTACTAGGGTGAGGTTACCCAGGGCTTCCAGGTTTTTAATAGTGGTCTAGTTAGGATCAGTTCCTGAATGAAAATTTTCGAAATTATTTACTTTACATATTGAAACTGAAAGATCCAATCCATATGAATTAATGAACTTGTATGCGATTCATGGAAGACGAAACAAATTACAAACTAATCATATTCACACAGAAATTCACCATTCGATAAACTTGATATTTTATTTATTTGAACACATAAATATTGGTACAAGGGGGCACCAGACACATATGTGCCACAGAAAAACTTTATATTAGTTAGCTGCATTCAGACTAAATAAATAACCTCATCAACTAGAAATTTTATAAAACGGTAAGCAAAAATGACTATATAATATCTAGATGATGTACTAATGAGGTTTATTAAAGAAAGTTACAGTGATATAGCTTATACATTTGATAGACAAATTTTGAAAATAGAAAACTAGTACAACGGAAGTCACACGTACAGACAACAGATGACCACTACACATAGCTATGTTAATATAACTAACAAAAAAGGCAGAAAAGAAAGCTACATTTCTAAAAAAAATTATACATGCACGAATGAACAAAAAGTACACCATATCAAAATACATATATGATGGATAAACATCAAATCAACAAAATTAGATGGACTCTGTGATAACCAAAAAGAAGGGGGGATATGGTTACGAAAACTTGATAAACAAACATGCGTTAAACTGTAACGCACCAGACAAAATACATCTAGATGTTCACATTGAGAAAAACAAAGACAACGAGACATTTAAATACTCACCAGCATAATCGGTAAGGTCACCATCTACCTCCAGTTCAACAGGTTCTATAGAAATTATGTAAAAATAACTAACTCCAATGCTCATATAAATACTACATCATCATTCAGAACTAACCGAGTTAAGTTGTGTGAATGAGTAATATATCCGAAACTAAAGTTTTGTTAAAAATGGCCAAAGTATGAATATTAGCAGAAAGTAACTAACGTCTGTTTATATGCTTTCACTTAAAGTATCATTTGAAAGCAAATATTGAGTTGGGAGTAAACTGTGATAACTATTTTTGTTTTTGGATAGGCTGTTTGATTTACCTTAATTTTGTTAGCTACTAGAAGAGTTAATCGACTTTGTAAAGTCGTCTTAATTACCTGTTGAGATTTATAAATAGCGGAACGAGGTAACCTAGTAAAGATGGATGGTAGCTAGAAGTAGAATCCATGACACGCGTTCCGCTCTATTTAAGGTTCGTCAGTTGGATGTACCTGTGGCTTAGTATTTTACTTGGATAACCATAACAATTATGAATTAGATTGGTAAAAAGCACTTGTAACCCTCTGATATGACCTTTCGGTGTTCTATTTGAAGGTTTAGAAAAGTGAGAAATCATGTGGCCTACAAATGTACGAAAAAACGCAGTAGCGGAGTTGATGTATTCAGTGTTGGTGATGTGGAAAACGTAACAATAATCAATGAAGTTTAAAAGTGCTAGTACAACTATACAGAAGTAATCTGATATTACTCTTTAGTATAGTGTCATGCAGTAATAATTTCGAAATAATATTTAGGTCGGAATATAAATAACGATTGATAATGCAACCTATCTATTCAGTCAGTCAGTAACAACGTAGAACTTCGTACGTACGTACATCAGTTCGAGTTGCCACACCACATTAGCACAGAGATGCAGTGGTCGATTCAAATCCCGTAGTGCTAGATGTAATAATATTATAAGCTGTAATCAGAAAAATTAGGGTTTGAAGATGCTATTCAAGGAGTATAATCCAGTGAAATAAATTTGGGAAGAGAAAAACAAGGGACATGAAGAAGTCAGAAGATTAGAATTTGGGAGAACACAAAGAGTGGATGCACCTGCGCCATTGCAAACGATTTTGAGCCATGTCATTCAAGGTCTCTAACCATCGGTTGCTATCATCTCGCGCTCCCCAACCAGGTAGTCTACACCTACCAATATGACTCAGTCCACTTGTCAGTGACTTCATGGACTTGTGCCATGTTTTGGTCTGGCCACCCCTAGCTTTCTTCCAACCTACTCCTATACCACTGAACATAGCACGTCGAGGCAGTCGGTCGTTGGGCATACGTAACACGTGTCCAAGCCATCTCAACTGATGGAGTTTCACTACGTCATCAATTGATTTGCCATCCTTACTTAGTACCCGTTTCCTAACAACTGCATTACTTACTCGATGGTCCCAGGATATACGAGCAATATTTCGAAGGCACCTATGATCAAATACTAGTAACCTACGGATATCCTCTACTCTTACCGGCCATGTTTCACTGCCATAAAGTAGGACGGAACGAACTGCTGCGCAGTAAACACGTCCTTTCGTTGGTAGACGGATATCTCGCCTACGCCATAAATGACGCACGTTGGCAAAAGCTAGTCGAGCCTTCTGTATCCGTGCTGAGATTTCGTCACACACCAGATCACAAGGGCTGATGAGACTTCCAAGATAAGTGAAGCGATCTATCAATTACTTCACTCCCTATCATTAGTTCGGGTGTCAATGCAACCCAATCCTGAGGCAACATTTTGCATTTTGAGGGGGAGAATCGCATCCCGAACATGCTTGCATTGTTGCTTAGAGTGGTCAGAAGACTCTGCATTTTGTCAGCGTCTTCACCAAACTATCTACTAATCACAGGTCTCAATGCATCTACTTTTTTTAAAAGTTCCAAACAGACAACTTAAGAAAAAGGAAACATCAAACTACACAGTGCATCAACTGCATGATGAATAATGAAGTTAAAAATGTGAATTTATGGCGGATTTTCAACAAAATGACACTAGAAAATTGAAACAGCAAACAACTACGAAGTTCATGAAACTGGTTCTAGTGTTTATACTACAGAAGAATTTATTTCATTGGAAGCCTTAGTATCTAAACAAAATTTATATTAACGAGCCAATGCTGATAAACCATTGGAACCTTACCAAAACTATCGAACAGACCACCAGTTGAATGGACAACAACATATTTATTGTACTATATTTGTGTGGAAATACCACTGTGTTAATGCAAAGACATGATTCATTTATTCGTGTTGATAATAATTGTTGGGTTTGTAAATGAATAAAGGGTGGTTCTGTTTTCTTTCGAAGTAAACCTAAACGTAAGTGTATTATTATCGATCCAAAACAGGTAGAGTTAGATATGTTTATCAAATTGCTGTCCATCTAAGTCAGTTTCTTAACCATTAATTAACCGTTAATTAGTAGTTATTTGAGGAACTGTTTGGGGTGCAACAAATAATTTAGAGGGAGACTGATATTCGATTAAACGAGAGAATATTTGTAATGAAAATACTTAAAATTAAAAGGTAGGGCTCAGTAGTATTAGAAGAGCATAAAGATAACTTCAAATTGCTCAGTGACCGAATATGGATGTGTTTAGTAAATCTAACCGTTTTAATTTCATGTTTTCCCTTAGAATGTTTAAAAGATCTTGTGTTTATCAATATTTCTGCTCATCAGGACTACTTTTTCTAGATGGTCAAAGATGACCAGTTTCTCAGCTAAAGAATATCACCACTACAGTTGGGATTAAATATGGTTTTCTTAAATATGTATAAGAAAAATGTGGGCAAGAATGGTAACTAAGAGAGGAGTCGGAGACATTACTTGCTGAAGTTCATCAGTCCACAAAAGTATATTCCCAACTAGCCGTCTAAGTGCTCAAGTACATGAGAGAAATTAAAGTCACGTACACTTCAACGCCAACTGATATAAATACTAATCACACTGAATATCATACGAGTCGTAAGTATGAGTAGTGTGTAAAGATTACGGTTTAAAAGAACTTCTAGATTTATTGATAATTTAGAAAAATCAGAGTCTGTGTTGAACTTCCTCACACATATTTATCGGGGTGGTTCAATGTAGTGACCCGGGAAAATCAGATCGGTTTCATATCATGGTGTGGATGCACAGCCATACTTACTGAAGCGCAACAATAGTGGTATCTTTCAACTTCAAGGCATCATTCGACTTAATCGACAGCCGTTTTGCGGCAGTGCTTTTTTATTAAAATGCGTACCAAAAAGTATATAAACCTTGTGAAGAGTCTTTATTCGAACGCTACAACACCAAACAAAGCTTTTGGAGAACTGTCATTCGAATTGGAAACATCAAGTTGTATTCGTTAGTGTTGTCCACTTTCTGGGTCATTATATGAATTTGACGCATACATTCACTTAGGGACCACATTCTTATCATCCACCTTTTAAGGCATTGATCTCCTGCAAGGAGATTAATTTAGCGACTCAAAATATGAAGACAATATAGTTCTGATAGGCGAAATCCTGAGTCCTCTCACCACCTTGAGGAAGAATCTAAGTTTGTTTGGTGTTAATTCAAGATAATTCTACGTCGGCGCCTAGTATAACCATGAGGAATGAACAAGTTCCAAGTAAACACGTTACAATTATTTAAGAAGTCGTGTCAAACTTGATGGGCTAGTGTCCAACGAAATCTCATTTGACACTTGATAATTTGCGTTATCTGTATCCCAACTACAGGACAAATATACTGTGCACCATTCACGATTACTAGATCTAAGAGTCCAGATTTTAAGTCAGAAAACCTCATAGAAATAATCGTTTTCATCATCTAAGCGGTAGTCAGTGGAGGTAAACAAAAACGACTGGGGCGACAGTATGCTATAGGAACAGAAGTTTTAGTAAGCAGGGAAGAGGTTGAATTTCGAACATTGTTACTCCGAGTGCTGTTAACCGTATGGAGGATAGAAATCACCAAACTGCCCATAACACAGAATGAAACTTCTTCATGAAAGACCTGAGAAAAAAACTGGATTAGCGCTGATGGTCCTGTCGAATTGGAAGAGGGTTGCAGAGTCCAGAGGAAAACTTTCTGAGGTCGACCACATGCCACATTTTTGTGAGTGATTGTTTTCTATTAACTGCACTACTGAAGACTTTATAATTGGCTCTGGAAATTCGTGACCTAATAGAGAGTGCTACTTTGGCTTAGACTTTTAAAATCCAATTTCTGTTGTGGTAACGTACCATTATCAGAAACACTGGTTATCCGTTAAAAACGCTTCGCTACAACTACATCCACGTACCTTCGATAGTATACCTTCGCCTTTAGAATCTCAAACTTGGCGCCTTTAGTCTCACTTCTATACAACCAAACTGCTTGAAAGATGGAGACTTCAAGGAAAGTGTCTTAGCAAGTACAGCTCGGTTGGGTCCTGAGAACATGCAAGCCCAATCACTATCTTAAGGCAGTAGCGACGATAGGGGAGCAAGGATGTGGTTCTAACATATTTTCGGAATATAACATACGAACGAACTTACCAGCAAACTCGCTGCCTAACGGCTCACTAGATTGTGGTTGTGGAGTAGTACATGAGCCATCATGACCTGGAAATAAACAATGTCAAGTATGTTAGTGAGAACCAAGTGTAAAAATGTCAAAAGCGAGGTGAAATATCGTAATAAAGCACTTAATTCGCCAGTCCCAATTGGCCTGACTTATTACAAACAAATTAGTAACAAATGCTCACAGCCAAGTGCTGGAAGACCACTTAATAGGATAAACTATGGAAAATCTACGCACCCGCTTCATAACGTGTAGTGATATATATATATATATATATATATGCTTTAAATTAAACTTATAAAGAAATATTGACAAGACAACTTTGGAACGCTGTATAATAGTTCAATGAGCTTACTCTTTATATCGTGCCCATCGTCTTCCGGTAAATCACCTTGAGACAATTCATCGAAACATGGTTCTGAAAGCCTTTTTGCTGGAAATGAGAATTAAAAACAACAAACAAACGATGGATTATTGAAAATTCTCCCGCCACTATAAAGCTCAGGTGTTGTTTCCATGATAATCCTCATAATTCTCTGTCGTTCTGTCTCTAAAGCTGTGATTAAACAGGTAAAAACATTCAATGAGTCAAACTTTCTGAATTCAGCATATTGCCCAGTCGGTTCAACTGGTCAACCCCTGTATTGTGGTCAGATGTTTGAGTAGCTAATCCAACTTCAAAGCAAGCATTATTACCGGGATAAGGACAGTCAGGAAGACAATGACTGTCTAATTTGTTTTTGATAAACATTGACCTAACACGTTCTACATATTCAAGGTACACACGCAAAAGATTGGTGTACAAATCATGTAGACGTTGATACTCTCCTTTCATTTCCGCCTCTTGTTCTTCAAACTTCGAAACTTGATATCGTATCAACAGATCGTGTGTGACTCACTTTGTTCATTCAGGCTTTTTACTCTGTTTTCAAGTATACGGACATTAGCATCATACGACACAGTTTTTTCTTCGTGCTGTCTACGTTCCTCTTCCAGATCATCTTCCAAGCGGAATAACCTCTATATTTATAAAGTGAATATTTATATGTCAACAGCAACTAACATTTTCAGCAGCCTTCCTTAGTTTCTTCTCTTTTTCATATTCACCCGAAAGTAGTCTATGGTCATCGCTTAACACAAGTGACTTTAGATGGAGGTCAGAGTTCTCGGAATGCAAGCTATCGAGGTTCTCTAGTGCACGGATGACCAACGGCATCAAATTATGAAGAAAGCCATTCCCATATAATTTGATCAAGGACTCGAACTCCTTATATATGTCATTTGCCAAGTCTTGGACGCTTTGAGATATTGGCTGGGACCCGTCATCTGTACTGCTAATCGCGTCCTCGCGATCATCTGAAGACTGAAGACGTCGATCGGCTTGGATATAGCTATCCATCTAATTCAAGGTCATTTTTAAAACGGGCGACTTGATTCACTTTCAGTTTCAGCTTCACTGGGTAAGAAGGACAGTAAACTTAATAGCCTTTATTAGTATTTGCGGTGGCAGTCTCTCAGATGATCCAACATGCCTAAGGAAACATCGACAGAAGGGGTTTCAATCGCGCGTTGAGGTAGTGAGTTACATTTGTTGGTGGATCGGCGTTAAGGTTGATGGTCAGCTGGCAATCGTCTTCACTAACTCTATATGGTAAAGCAAAAAGACGAAGGCATACCACATGCAAGTTTGTCATCAAGTATTTTAAAGGTTGAGATCAAATCACCACTGGTCTTCATACAGGATATAAAAGTTCTGGAAATCAGCTTTCTTGTGGTTATTTGAACATTTTACAACCGCTCACTGTTTCTTTTTAGGCAGGGGGTAACCGCTTGTATCCAATACTCAAGTTTGGAACCATCAAACACTACACGAAATGGAAAACGTTTTGGTATCTACATGTCTAGTTTCTCTATGTGTGAACCACATAATCCTAAACCCTTTGCAGGTGTTGAGCAATTTTTAAGTCTCAGTTAAAGATGGCTCTTAGCTCATCATGTGTCCGGGCAACAGGTGGCCCATTTTTATTCACCGTGTATTTATATATATTTTGGTGGCCAGTATGCATTACATTGTACTTGGAAACATCTATTAGCAACTGTCCGATTCCAGACCATTCAGATAATTTCTGCAAATCATTTTGAATCTCCAAACTTTCGCGTTCACTTTTTATCGCTCTCCATATCGTGACGTCAGCATATAGCGAAACCAATGATGATAGGAGACTAGGAAGATCATTGACCTACAGAGGAAACAACACTAGACTCAGAACTGTCCCCTGAAGCACTGCACCAGACACAGTTTGCCGGATGGACGACTTCGAGTTTACCCGTACTCCTTGCTGATGCCCAACTATGAATTCTTCTTTCCCCATAAGTAAGTTGCTTCCTATCCCGATAGCGCTTAACTCGGATGTCGGACAGTTAAAAGGACTTTTGTCAAAAGCATTGCTGAAGTCAAAGTAAGATATGTCTGTAGGTAACTTTTCATCAGCTCTCATGACATACAATCAAGTGTATGGGACATGAATAGCCTGCTCTAAAACCACGCTGCCTTTTGGAAGGAAACCGGCTTTCCTCTGGACACTGATAACTTCCGAATAATACTTTCCAGATTTTAACAATTAAGCTGGTTAAGCCTATGGGTCAGTAGTTCCTAGGTTTGCGTCTTTTAACTCTTCAGGATTAACTATGGCGTTCCCTTAGTCTTCCGTTATTCTACCTTGGGTTACAGACAGAATAAAACATATGATTGCGGGGTTTGTGTCGAAATTCGCTAGTTGTTTTGGTAACTTTGGTTGAATTTCATCGGATCTCACGGATTTACCCATATGAAGCTTAGCTAGCAGGCAGAATATATCGAGTTCCCCAACAGTCACAGTGTCTAGAGTGTGTATGAACCGAAGGCGAAGAGATCTCCACAGTATATACGTTACTAAATTAATTTGAGAATACCATAGTTTACCATAAGGACGTATCGATACTGTCCACTCATTATGCTAGGATATTTTTTCTTCTCTTAGTCTTGTGCTTCATGTATGAATATAAGCGTTTAGGGCATTTTACAGACTCCTTGACAAGTTTCTCTTCACACATTTATCTAGAATTGCAAATGGTTGACGGACCAATATTTTGCATCTTTTTATAGTATTTTGAACTATCCGAATTGTAGTATGAACTAGGAATCCCAGAATTAACGCAATTGAATTAAGAAGTGAGACACAAGCACAAACGAATGTATTGTATTTGGAATTCGAAATCGAGCATTCAACAAGTACAAAAGAATCATTAGTTAATTCAAACACCAAACTTTTTATACTAAGTTCTCGGTTCATCAGAACTCTGCAGGATTGATGTTCGCAAGCACTCAACAGCTCAAATGCAATATCTTCATGACTTTCTAATGTAAACCGAAATTGCCACTTTCAGTTCACTTTTAGTGATACAACGCTCTTTTCAGTCCTTCATATAGTCTATTGAAGGTAGTCAAGCTTTTAGATGGCTGTAGTCCGAGTGAATACGGCAGTTATTTGTGAACCGGCCTATCTTTCGTTCAAGTGTATGCATTTGTTCTAAGGAAATATGAATACTGAGAACGGCAGCTATCACATCACCGAGTAGACGTACGTTGGTTGAAGTATGAAAATTGTAAAATTAGAACCCTGAGGTGCAGAGAAAGAACATAAATCGAGATAGGAAAAAAAACACAAATATATCAGATGAATGTGTTAGGGCATGAAAGTGAAATCAAATAATAAGTGCAAAAACATCTTTCTATGCTTTAAACTTTCATTTTTAGACGCCTAAGGAAACAAACAAGTTCTGTGTGCATAAATGATTGGCGAGTTGTATTTTAAAACTGATTGTTGTGGAGATTTAGTCATTTCATCGGGAAGACAGTGTGGGGCCCTTCATTTCGTCATCACTTAGATCAAACGGTGTTTGTTGATGGGATCTACAGTTAAGTGGCCCGAGATCTGACTCCAAGTAGACCGTATGAATGATTGCTGTTGAAACATATATATCGCCTATTTTCGTATATGATCATCCACTTAAACCGCGTTAGTCAATGACGGAATCATGTAAGTCAAATAACGAGAATGGACTTTTGGATACATATATTTTGTATATAGTAATAATAATATACATATATTCCTGCATGTGCAGGTGCACGCCATTTTTACAGGCATGATCTATAAATTACAACATCTGCTGGTCCACAAAATGCTTCGCAATTCATTAAGTTTATAGTTGTTATAAAGTATACTCGTGGGGCGCTTGATGTAAACCGTGACCTTGAGGGGATGCGTACGTTAAGTTTTTTCCAGACGTCAGAAGTTTCATAGCTGTGCCCTCAGAGCGAATTTCTGAAGAAAAAATAGAAACAGAAGAGCAGCAAGGCACTTGGGTATGAACGCCAAACGTTGCTTAACATTGTGTAGTAGAACGGACAGAGGTATAGTAAATTAGAATTAATTCATATTATCTCTCGTTAGAGTGAAATCAATTCAGAGGCTCCATATTAGAGAATGTAGTAATAAAGTAGAATAGAGAGAAGTGGAATAGAGAGAAGCAAAACGACAAGCAGTAGACATTGCGAGTAAGCCAACTCCATTTAGTCGAGCGTTAATCAATATATATAGGCACACAAAAGTGTGACAGACATGTGATGAGTAATGGGATAAGAAGTGCACGCGCACATACGCTCATATAAAAACAGTCAAGATTAATAAGCGAATAATTAACAAAGTCAAAATGCGACTCAAGTAGAATGAATAGAATGGGCTGTCCAAAAGCTATAATAAGGTATATAGGCTTAACATAATAACCGACGTTTCAGTAGCTTCAGATAAAACAGATCCAATATAAAAACGTGAGGCCTTACCCTGATCATTGTGATCTGCTTTGCATTTCCGCGTTGAATCACTTTTCATATTCCCTCGAGAATAGGAACCATTGTTAGACAAGTTTGCCAGACTCTAAGAGTGTATTTCATCATGACGACTGAGTAAAGTGTTAAAAAATTTCACTAACTAGAAATCAAGTTCATCAACTGCCTCATAGTTGATACATGCAGTCCGAGCATCTTGAAAAGAACGGTCCGGCATTTTTAACAGCTCTCTTTCCAGACTCGGTTTGTTAATTCTTGTAACCAATAGATCTCGCAGCTGCACATGAAGTTGGTCGCCGAAATTGTATTTGGCAGCTTGTTTTTGCAATCCAAGGGCGAATTCACAAACCTCCTGGTTATTCTGACTAATAATTTAATGAAATTTCACTCTCTTATCACATTCAAAACTCGTGCACTTTAAATGATCTAATAGTAGTTTCTTAGAAGTTGCATGAGGAAGTGAGATAAGCTTTCCTGGGAGTGCAAAAGGTTTTAATGAACTGTAATGACCTACTTTTATCACGAGAAGACGATTGGTGTTATGGAAACAATTATTATTATAACCAATTGTACCGAGGTTTGTTTTACTGTACTTGATTGTTTGACTGTACCAAAAACACATACATTCTTCCGTTGCTTGTGACCTTGCACGAATTTGGTTAGGCTCAGTAAGCACAATTGTAACCTGGTACGATCTCGGTATTCTTTTGATACCACGAGATCGCCAGCAAATACATTTCGACTACAGCCATGAACTGCCTACTGATATTTGGCTTATGGGGGATCTTGTCGTTTAACTGGCACGTAGTCTTCCTGTAGTGATGATCAGAGTCAATCACAACTCGACGCCACAGTATAGAACTGTGGGCTTCTCTTCCAGTGGATGCGAAGAAATGTGCGACAGAATGCTACAGAATTTGATTGTTTATTCAACTGTTCCATCATGGACTCCATCGCTACGCCAATGCGATAAATAGAAGCATTTGATTTATACCAATGAGTATTATCCTAAACAGTACAATTTAGACCAAACATTACTAGGTGAGCACGAAAGAACTTATCGTATTTTGAATTCAAAATCAGACAGTCATCAAGTAGAAAGGAATCATTAGTTTATACAAACACCACAGAATGGCAGGTTCTTACAAGGAATTATTTGCCTCTTGAAGGTGGATATCTTTTTATTTTGTCTCCATTGTATTTTCCACCAGCACCTAAGCTCTATGAGGTTAGTGCGTTTGGATCATCAACTGAGGTGGTAACTTGTGGAGGATGACTACACAGGCCATAGTTTATCAATGTCACATGTGGTTTGACGTTCATTCATAGATAGGATGAATTTGAAAGTTATCTTCCACCTAGTTTCTCAGTAACGTATGGTCTGTTTGGAGCTCTAAGGGGTTCGTTTTCGTGGACCTTCATATATCAGTGATATGGATGAGGCCTGGTTAATCACGATTGTCCGGGAGGTTGTTGCTGGAAGTCTGAAGAAGTTAAAATCCTGAGAATGTGTCCATACGCCTAATGTTACGGAGAGACTAGACTCCAATAGTCTGTCATTGTTAAATTCATCTCAAGATTGGTGTGTAC